AACATCTTGCCCACAGCAGGCGATATATGTCGAAGCATATTGTTTACTTCTGTTGACTGGTCACGCCAAACGCGAGTGCAAACAATAGTGCTGAGATCATCACGAGCCCTGGATTGCGACTTCTGATGAGAGTGCTCAAGTAAATTGTTAGCGAGACTATCAGCTGTGTCAAGAGAATCCAAGATCAGTCGGTAGGAGTTGATGGCTCCTCTCAATCGGTTGTTAGTTTTTGAGCCAAAAGTTAGCCGCCTGCTCAGCTGGAAGTTAGCCCAAGAAGGAGTGCAACAATCCCAGTGAGTAAGGAAATAATCGTAGAATTCCGGAGAATACATCTGAAGGACCTCCTTCGAATGTTGGTAGTCCTGCTCCGTTGTAGCATTCATGAGGTGGGTAAAAAGATCCGACAGATAAGACCTCTGACGTTTGGGCACCATCAACAACTTTGCCTTGATTGACTGCATTAAATACCACTGGCAAAAGATCGGGGTGACATGACTTAGCTCCTCCGCGATGACAGTTGACAGATTACCCGGCTTATCGACTGTGATAGTGACAGTTCGCGAAACGGCATAAACTGGCATGAGCTTTTTAAAGGCCCGGACAGCGAGTCGTAGCGATTCTAGACTTTCATCATTAATAAATGCAAAGTAAATCGGTTGACTTGAAAGGTATTTGTCGATGCCAACAACTATTAGTAGCAGGTATCCACAGGCAGTGAAATTAGGCGCATATCCCATTGAAAGAACTTCGGGATGGCCCAAGTAGAACTGTTGAAGGGAGGAACTTGTGAATGACAAAAACTGGTAGTGTCCCGTTTCGTTCAAGACGTACTTGGCAAATCCATTCTCGCGTAAAATTTCAAGAAAACCACCCGGAATGTGTTTGAAACTATCCACTTCGTTAGGTGTCAGTAAGTAACGAATATCTTCCAGAGATATGTCTATGCTGAATCTTTCTGAAAGGATTTAGATGGCAAGAAACACTCACGATTCATGCATTCAACCAGGAGTACAGGATCAGCTCTGATTTCTAGCATCTCTTTAGCAAATTCTTCTTGTTCTTGATTCAGTTTTGACAAAGATCGATCAGTTCGTTTTTTTATAAGATGGTTATGTTCCATATTTAACTTGACTATCCTCAACTTGCCATCTCGAAGACGGAGTAAAATCGAGGCCGGACAGTCGATGTGCCTTGTCCTGAAAGTTTAGTCATAAAACGATCGCACCTTCGTTCCTTTCCCTTAACCTGGCCACCAGGGATGTAAGTTTTATATGAACATTGGTATAACACCTGAGAGTACACAAGTGTTAGGCTCCCTGGATGGGAGACCGGCAGTCTGGTGGATGAATGGATCACAAAATTAGCACCAAAAGCCTTCTAAAATGCTTTAAGACATGATGAAGTACCCGTTCAAATTGTCCAAGTCTTATTCTGAACGATTCAACTGATTTGAAAGAGTCCGAATTAAAACAGTGACGAAACTCCCTAGTGTGGTTCGTTATTTTCGCGGGTGGACCTGTGACAGATTTCAATTCTGTATGAAAACCACTT